GAAGTCCTGTTTTCTTGGATGAAAAATATTTGTCTTGAAAAACAGAAACCAAACAGAGAAAACATGGGAGAGGTATGCTTTCTTCATGGCATTATGTAGAAGCTCCATAAAAAGTGAGTGAACAGCAAATTCCCAGTGTGCACTTGTGGTGGTGGGGGGGGGAATGCAAAACTTTGTGCAACATTAAAGATGTTGAAAGCTTCCACAGCTAAATTGGACAAAAAGCTTTGCTCTGTCTCTTTTTTTCAGACATTTGCTTTAATATTAACAGAACTAAATTTTGTTAAGTTTGCTTTCATATTAACAAAATGTAATTTTCATTTTTTAAATTTTATTTGCATACTTTTTTATATTTTTGAATGCTACCTCATAACAAACATTCTCTGTTTTTTTAAAAAAAACCACAGTACAATAAAAGCAGGACAAACTATTTGCAATGGTTTAAAACTCAGTGGAATCCCATCTGGCAGATATTATTATTATCAAATTTTATTTCATTTACAGTGGGTTGTGATAATAAATATTGCAGCAGTAAATAAACTTCCAAGAAATATACTATCCAAAATAGGGAACAGATTCTTTCTTCACTGGAAACAGTAAATATTTCTCTAATAATCTTTGACAGAAATAATGTTGCACAGCTAATGCTAATTTGACATTTGTTCCAAGATGGAACATTTTGTCTTCTTCAGTTAATGCATATTTGGTGGGGGGTTTGGGGTACTCATCCACCTGGGAAGGTAGCCCATCTAGGAGAAGGAAAACTCTAGTCCTAAACCTCTGCTTCCTTGCAGGACAGCTTTGAGAGGAGAAAAGGCTAAGGAGTAAACCCTACAAATCCAGAGTGGAGTCCCTAAAACAGTTGGATTGTGCCTTGTACACATCCTTTCAAGCAACTCCTGCAGCCAAGTTGGTGTCCAAATGTATTGCTCTGCTTTCTTTTGGACCACATCAGCGAGGCCAAGAGCAGGTTATTGTCTTCTGGACCTCCATACGCACTGCCCAAGTTTGCTTCCTGGGGAAGTCATGCAGCAGTCTGACTTCACCCCTGGAGGTGCTCTCCAATGTATTTCAAGACAGAGGGATGCCAACAAGGTGTTCATTCATCACATATACTCAATGTGCCAATTCATTAAATTCTATCCTGTCTGTTTTACTATCCTGGAACTGGACTCTTTCATGGTTCCGTCTCATGGAACTCAGGAAAGAGGGCTTCACAACATCCTACATAGCAAACACACAATAGCAAAGAGAAGTGTAGCCTCAGGAATGTATGACATTTCGCCAAAATCACACTCTTTTGAGTTGTTAGAAAATGCAGTATCCTAAGAACAGAAGTGCAACCTTGAAGCGGGGAAAATGAAAAGAAAAAGTACATTTATTGTACACTCTTGTGAAGACTGCAGAAAGGAGATGGTTGGAATCAAGGCGTTGGTGCCCAAAGTGTCGTCAGGAGCAGTGCTCTGCAAGAGAGGACATATCTTTAAATAGGTACAGTGGTACCTCGGGTTAAGAACTTAATTCGTTCTGGAGGTCTGTTCTTAACCTGAAACTGTACTTAACCTAAAGCACCACTTTAGCTAATGGGGCCTCCTGCTGCCCCCATGCCACTGCTGCACGATTTCTGTTCTCATCCTGAAGCAAAGTTCTTAACCCGAGGTACTATTTCTGGGTTAGCGGAGTCTGTAACCTGAAGCGTCTGTAACCTGAAGTGTCTGTAACCCAAGGTACCACTGTAATTGTGTACTGGAACAGTTCAGCCAGTGAAGATATGAACACAAATGGAAAGAGCAAATGTTGCCTTAGATGAGGGTTAGTCAATATGATGTCCTCCAGAAGATGTTGGACTACAACTCCCTTCAGCCCAAACCAGCATGACCAGACCCAGGTGATGGGACTTGTAGTGCGCCAACATCTGGAGAGCAGCACTTTGGCGAATTCTGTTGTGGAGGTGGGGGAATGATTAACAAAATCAATCGTCCAGGCAAACTGGGAATACCCCCTCACTCACAGTTTAGGACATTCAACACTTTCCTTCAGCAGAGCTTCTTTTTCTTTGAGAAAAATAAGTGGCTCACGTAAATGTAAACTAAGCTCGAATAATAAAGAAAACAGTAGCAAAATAACATAATGAGAGAAACTAAATACAATAACATGAGGCGAGTCTGAGGCAAGAAACAGGAAGAGGCTGTTGGTCCCGGAGCAAAACACACAAGTCCTGCCCACCAGATACCACACATTCTATTGATCAAATTAGGCCCCAGTGTTTTTTCTTACAAATTCTGCTTTAGACAGTTTTGAACTGTGGAAAGTGGCACAGCCTTATACAGTGGTACCTCGGTTTATGAACTTAATCTGTTCCTGAAGTCTGTTCTTAAACCAAATCCATTCTTAAACCGAGGCATGCTTTCCCTAATGAGGCCTCCCGCCACCGGTGCCCTTCCACTGTTCTGCTTCCGTTCATAGACCAAGGTAAAGTTTGCAAACCAGAACACTACTTCTGGTTTTGCAGAGTTGGTAAACTGAATAGTTTGTAAACAGGACTGTTCGTAAACTGAGGTACCACAGTAAATTAATATGGGTGCTGAGACCAGGATTTGTAGCTGTGGTTGGCCTCCGTCTGTCTCAAGAAGCAATGGTGTGCATCTCCAGAGGTGAAGTCAAATCACTGGAGAATCACAGCACCTGCTGTGGCTGCACAGACTTGTAACTGCTGCCTCCTATGTTGTTTTTGCTGCATTAGCAGCACTGGAGCGATCTCTCTGGGGTGCAAACCTGGGCAGTGTGTATGGAGGTACTGTGCTACCCAGACAATAAGAACCATCCCCTCGGCCAACTGATGTGGTCCAAAAGAAAGCAGAGCAATATGTTTTGCACCAGTTCGACTGAAGGAGTTGCCGGAAAGAGGCATACAACCGTCTTAGGGACGCTAATCGGATTTCTGTAGGGTTTACTCCCGAAGATGTTCCGCAAAGCAGCAGGTAAGGATTTGCAGTACCATGAAGCAAAAAGAGCAACAACTTCAGTTGTTACATTCCAGAGGGTATGTTATTTTCCTGTCTCTTATTAAGAAAAAATGAACTGAAAAAATGAAATGAAAAAATGTGTCATTGTGATTTTTTATTTCAGCTGTAAAAACGCCCAACGCCCAGGGAACACTTAGCAACTGTGGTCAGAACAGAATCCACCACACAATGTGATGTGTCTGTTGTTAGGAAATGCTGCTCTCATTGGCAGGGCTGACCCAAGGCATTTTGCTGCCTGAGGCAAAGGACAAGATCATGCCCTATTCCACCTACAGAAGCCAACTAGACTAGCCGCTGAAAGTCACTTCAGCACTGGCAAAGGGACAGCATCTTCCACTGAATTTGAGGGCAACAGGATTGCATGGCACACACAGCCCAGTCTTTCCAAAAGATGGAGATGCTGCCCCGCCTCAGCATCTGCCACCTGAGGAAAGTTCCTCACTCTTCTTAATGGTAGGGCCAGCCCTCCCATAAGCTGAATGTGCTAGATTTAACGGTCACACTTTACTGGATAATTTTCCAAAAGGACAAATGGTTCTGATTTATGAAAGTCTTCAAAATTTTGCCGCTTCCATCATTCCTGGTCATGACTGCCAGGAATACAGCTGTACAGAGGAAGTAACTACTGAACTGACACATCCTTGGATTCAGCCACTGCTTTTCAGCAATGCTGTGCTCGAGTGGAGAGGCCAAAAAATAAAACATAAAATGTAGGATTGCACTCATGTGAGTTGCTGCCAGGAAACTGCAGCTGTAACCAGGAACCTGTCAGGTCATATGTCTTCACTCCCAGAGATGCTCCATCTGTTCTGTGTAGAGGAAGCAGGATATGTTTAAATCCCACCTTTGCCCCACAGCATTAAGTAGGGGCCAAGGGAGCAGAGCTGCCCTCATCTTTTCAGAGCTCCAGCAGAGATTTTGTCATGTAGGTGTGCCTGTGTGAAAATCTTGGCTTTAAAAGCAAATTCATAGCGCTTGTGGTTTGCAAAGAGCCAACACCTTCTGCATAGTGCGCCTCTGTAACTAAAGGGAAGAAGGGAGAGAGGTGGGGAAACTCCACAAAACATTTGGAAGGACCACAGCTCATCTGCTCTGCATGCAGAAGGCTGAAGTTTCAATCCCTGGCATCTTTAGTTAGGTCTGGGAATATCCCCGGTCTGAAATCCAGGAAAGCCATTGCGAGTCAGTGTTGATAAAACTGAGCTAGATGCACCAACGGCCTGTGTTTCCAGAGGCAGTTTCCTCTGTTCCTCGGTTTAGATTAGTTATTGATGATTAAATAGTGGTTTCTGAGAGCTACAGCTGGATCTTTTTTACTTACAGTGGTACCTTGGGTTAAGAACTTAATTCGTTCTTGAGGTCCGTTCTTAACCTGAAACTGTTCTTAACCTGAGGTACCACTTTAGCTAATGGGGCCTCCCACTGCTGCCACACCGTTGCTGCGCAATTTCTGTTCTCATCCTGAAGGAAAGTTCTTAACCCAAGGTACTATTTCTGGGTTAGCAGAGTCTGTAACCTGAAGCATCTGTAACCTGAAGCATCTGTAACCTGAGGTCCCACTGTATTTGTATAGAAATTTCCATCCTGCCCTTCTAATACCTATGCACTGCTCAGGGCAGCTTGCAACATCATATAATGAAGCAATGCATTAAATAAAACTACAACAAATACGAGAGAAACAGAGGTCACAGATGAAATACAAGCTGGAAATGAAACATCAGGTACTTAGCAAGGCAAAAATCCTTCTAATTTTTAAAATGTCTTCACCAACCAATGAAAGACAGCCGGAGAGAGGATGCTTTAGCCGCCCTCGAGCATTTCTAAAGTTGGGACTTTGTATCCCTACTTACCCTTTTGGAATATCAGGCCATGCACATGGAAAACCTGGAATCCTGAAACAGGAATGAGGAGGCTTCTAGGACCCAGAAGCTGACACACTCTCCAAGCTTCTGGCTGCCTCTCACCCTTCACTGCAGTGGATCTGTGCATCAGCTACAGTGGAGGAGAAGCAGCAGAGAGGTACCCAGTATGCTGGAAGCCTGCACAGGGAAGGTATGAGAACTGAAGTCTGGATTAGAGAGAAGGGAATAGGCAACTGTGTAGCCAGGCAGCAGCAGCATGCAGACTTCTAGGGTAGGTTATTGCCAGTGCTTTCCTATCGCCCAGGTGCCTAGTATGTGCTGTTCGGTGGAAGAAAAGCATATAGCCAGTCCATTCTCCCCAAGAAGCTGAGATGGATATAGGCATAAGCACCGGGGAGGCGAAACATGGGGACTCAAATCTATGTATGCACTTAAATAGAAAGAGCAACGAGAGCCTGAGCTTTGCAGGTAGGCTCCTTCTTGCATGTGAAACTAGGAGCTAATCTGCCAGCAGTTGGGCAGAGGAATGAACAGGACCAGCCTTGATTCCCCTCCGATTGCAAGATCCTCGCTCTCCTCCCTCCTGGCACAAGCTGAGGCCTACTGGTAGTAAGGTGGGTCTCCAAGCACTGGACAGGTGGGTAGCTCAAGGTAAGGAGGACCCAGCAGGAGGAGGGTGTGGGCAGCAGGAGTGGCAGCCTCCTCCTCTCTCAGGGTGGGAAACTGTCTGTTGATATTTCCATTGGAAGAAATTAAAAGTCCAGCACTTGGGAGCTCTTTGTCTTGCAAGGCTGAAGGCAGCACAGCAGAAACCCATGTGAGCAGGAATTGGGGAGGAGGGTGTTGGTCTATGTGTGAGAGAGTGGGTGTCTCTTCTAGACGGAGCAGATCCTGTCGTGTGGCTATATAGAGCTGCACCTACCTGTGTAATCGCTTCTGAATCAGGAGGCATGCCAGGTAAGCATTTCAGAGATTTGGGCCATTCATTTCCTGAAATATGGAGCATACATGTGGAAGTGTGAAGTATGGGAATGAGGGAAACCTATGATGTGCGATGAGGAGATAAAGAGCAGTACTTTTTTCTTAAAGGGGCATCCTATCAATGAAAGGTCATCTGGCAATTCGAGGGAGAAGGCCGGATGTCTGTGGTTGGACATAGATATGCAGTGGGATACAGACTCCTCTTTTCATGGTCTGACATCGCAGAGCAGGCTTGCAGCTTCCATGCCTCTTTGCTCTGTAGAAGCAAGATGCTGCATGAGACAAGAGAAGCGATGGGGAAGAAGAGGAGTTCAGTCATTTTAGACCTGGACTTCGTGGTCCCACAGAGCTTTAGACAGCAAGGTGTCACTCATTGCTTACTTCGAAATGTGGCAAGCCAGCTCTGCTGTGTTTGGGGTGGGACCAGTGGCATAGCAAGGGTGGGCCAGGAGGGCCATGGTCCCAGGTGCAAATTTTGGAGGGGGCACAACCAAGTGCCCCCATGACAGGTTTCCTCATCAAGGCTGGAGCCATGGGGAGGCAAGCCAAGCCCTAGCTGGGCCTTCAGGGCTTGGACAGTGGTGGCACCTGCTACTACTTGTGGCCAGTGAAGGGACGCCCACCCACACCCCACCCTTGTGCTGGCTGAGAGGGAGAGAGTGCAACAGTCACCCAAAGAGGAGGGCAGGAGGAAGAGGAAGGCAGGAAAGCACTGCCTGAGTCATGTGCATTGCCCAGAGTTGCAAGGACAGGAGGGTGAGGCAACACAGTGGCGCTCCTGGCTGAGCGTTTCTCTGACTTATCTCTGCTCCTAGGTTGGGGCTTGTTTGCAAGGACAGACTCCCTTGATTATACCCTGGCCAGCAAAGGGACTGACTGCTGCCCAGGGCAGCACTTGCCCTGCTCCAGACACCGGCAACCCATGCTACGCCCTTGGGTGGGACCTCCTGTTCATGCTGCCAAGTGGGTGATGAAATGTCTGCCCCAAAGTCCCTCTCTGATGGCGATGCTAAAAGGAATGAGGAGCTACCACACCGGGCAGGATCTGTCCAATAATGCCATGTCCCCCAAGTGGTCATTGCAACCATGGAATGCTTCAGAGGAGCACTGAACTAGGTGAGCAGGCAGCAGACCACATACTAGACGTTCCCTTGCTTCAGCTATTGTACCTGTATGGGTGTAGCAGAGCTATGCTGAACACAGATGACTTTGCTTGCATTATTTGGGATCAAGTCAAAACTATTATCAGCAGCCAGGTGCTTTTTTAACTTCAATCCCAGCTCTATGTTTCAAGCACATTTGTTGAGTTGGTGTGCAGGGGGAGGGTGTTTTCTGGGTTGCAACACAGTCCTTGAAGTTTCCTGTTTCTATGCAACTCAGGAGGGTAAGTCGTGCGCTCTTATGGCTCTTGATATGGATTTGAGGCACATGGAAACCCCATGTGTGGGGGCACAGAAGAACTATTGGGGTCAAATGGATAAGGAAATGTGTTTAGGAAAACTGAATGTTTTAGTTCTGAACCAGATTCATTGGTATAATGGTTGTGGCACATCCATTCCTTGGTCAGGATTTCCAGAATGCCCTGGACTAAGCACAGTCTAGTCTATCCCAGGACTTAAACTAGATTGGCAGGGCAAAGGGAATTCTGGAAGGAAGAACTTCTAGGGTGCTTCCGGACAACCTGTTTATTGAGCACTCATCCTGATTTGCTTGCAGAGAGACAAACAAAGAGTTGCCCCACACTGTCCACTGTGTTTTCTATCCATCACTTTCCTTGACACTTATACTGTAAACCACCCTGTAACCCTTAGATAAAGGGTGGTATATAAAATTTATATATCATCATCACAAGACGTCTGAACTTTTGCAAGACCACCCTATCACCTATAATTGTGCAACCTGAATTTACTGCAACGCAATCGAAGTACACCCCAAAATAGCAAGGAAGAAACTTCAGGATAAAACTATATCTCCAAAGCTTAGTCTGTGTTGAGATTCTTATTTCTGAGTGTCCCAGGACTCTGAACACAAAGATTAGTTCTCATATCAGTTGTCTTCTGTCTACAGAATTCCTTATTTTTATTTTCTCCTGCTCATAATGACCAGCCCCACTGGCTCACTCTGCTTGATGGAGGTTTGTGCTGAGATTTTATCAGCTGACTTAAAATTCCCACCAGATACTTTCCAACTGCAGATGTTTTAAGAGTGCTAAATTATTATTGTGGGGGCCTGATCCATAACTTGAAAGGGTTGACTTAGTTTCACTGGCTTTAGAGGGGTTGCGTTGACTGAAACAAATGTAATTAATCATAAGTAGAGTGTGCATCGGTCTGTATGTGGACCCACTGTTGGCATGAGCTTCATTTATATCTAATTCCGCAGCATATTCTCAAATACCGCCCACTGGCCTAGTAAGAGCACTTGGCTTTCTTTTTCTCCTCCTGTTATCTAACAACTTCAAGAGTGGCAGATATATCTCATCTTGAACTTCTGAAAATTATATTATTCGGGAGTTAATTTTATGACACATCAAAATTAAGATGTGTGGCATTTAATATATAAATATGAGTAAGCTGGGTGGTACGGCAGTTTTGAAATTAATAACATGGGTAAAGTATGTGAGGTTCTGTGTTATTTTATTGTTTTCGGTGAATGTATTTGTCAAATAAGAAAAAAAATCAATAAAATGACGTTAAAAAATACCCAACATGTTTTTGTGGGGTTGTACAACCCCATAGATTTGGCTTTCACTAACCATTTGCTCACTAGCATCCTATGTAGACCTACTCTTTTCATGTCATGCAAATGGTAGTCTGCTTATTTTGATCTAACAGTTCACAACTGTAGAGCAAGGATACGTGGAATGGGGTGGACCAGCTAGCAGGTTGGCTTCTTGTCCCCTTAGAGGGCAAATGTCCCAAGAAGGACAGTACTGAAGATGCAACTTATGACGGATTCAGAGTAGGTCAGCCTTCATGGGAACCTGAGCAAATTGGTCCCCTATCCCTAACTGTACTCAGGTATGCCATGCAATCAAGGCACATCACTATAATATTAATTTTATTATTTATACCCTGCCCATCTTTCTGGGTTTCCCCAGCCACTCTGGGCAGCTTCCAGCACATATGAAAAGATCATCAAACATTAACAACTTCCCGATAACAGGGCTGCTTTCAGATGTCTTCTAAAAGTTGTTTAGTTCTTTATCTCATTGTCATCTGATGGGATGGCTTTCCACAGGGAGGGCTATGAACCCCACAAAGGAAGTCCGTAACTCAAACCATTTCTGCACTATACGTTTGATTCTATACTATACGAGTCAATGATTCAAAGCACTACTATGCCACTTTAATGGTCATGGCTTCCCCCGAAGAATCCCGAGAATGGACTTTTGTAAAGAGTGCTGAGCATTGTTAGAAGGCCTCTTATTCCCCTTGCAGAGGTACAATACCCAGTGTGGTTTAATAATCAGTCTCTCTTCCCAGGGAACTCTGGGAATTGTAGCTCTGTGTGGGGAATAGAGGTCTTCTAACAAGTCTCCATGCCCTTAAACTACAGTTCCCAGGATTCTTTGGGGAAGGGAGCCATGACTGATTAATGCGGCATAACAGTGCTTTACTATGCATGGTACAGATGTGGCCTCAGGTGGCATGGGATTATATCCCTCTGTCCCCAGGTGTACATGGTGTACACACTTATTGCTCACAAGGGTGAGGCAGAAAGGGTGCTATGCACATAAAAGGAGCATTTTGCATGGACAGCTGACCTTGCAACACAGATGGAAACCTAAGCTAATACTCCTCTGCCTAGAACCCCAACAGAGACGTCGCCTTAGAATTCCAAACAGAGACAGCCAACTCCACTCAACAACTGGGGTAGCCAGGTCAGAGATCTGCATGTAGGTAAGCAGGGAAATGCTGTGATTATGTACTAACTGCAGCAGCAACAACCTCCAATATCTCCCCTCATCCCGTTTGCCATTTGCGAAGACTGCATCTCATCCAAAGTCTCTTGCTCTAACCCTCTAGTTGATGATCTCTGCTTGTTGCTTGCTGATTCCATGTCTCTTCTTGCTCTCCACAGGCATAGTGGATTGGTCTACCCCATCCCATGCAGGCTGTGATGGAAGTCCAACAGCACCCGTCAATATACTCACACCAGGCGGACTCCTGTGCCCTGGCAAGCTCCATGGCCGCTGGTCAGCCAACAGGTGATGCTATCTGTAGTATGGACACCGAGCTGTGGGGGGCACTTTGTCTGCTGTCCTGCAACTGCCCTCAGCACAGGAACCCTGCTGGAGCAACTGACCATCAAGGCCAGACATCTGTCTTTACCTTTCAAAATCTGCCCTATCCCTGACTGTGCAATAAACACCACTACCATGCTGTGTGTGTTTTCCTGTGTTTGCCAGAGGTTGGGGGACAGGGGCCTTGCAGACTCCCCCCTCTTGCATGCAGCTATCTAGTTTGCAGCATGAGAAGGGGCAACTTAGCCAATCTGTGGGTAGGTGCGAGAAGTGGGGCAGCTTAATACTGACAAGGGAGAAGAGCACATGATGGCAGCCAGATAACCAGCCAAGCAGGACAGCCATGATCTGGTGCACCCATCAATGTCCAAGGGGGAAGTTCCACCCCCCACCCATCTTGTCTCACCTGCACAGGATGTCTGTGCCACACCCATCAACCTAGAAGAACATGTTGTGGAAAGAAAGCAGAATACACCACTAGCAGGCACTCTGCTGTAGAACAGCTGCAGGAACCAGCCCTCCCAGCTGTCCTGGGCTTGTGGTGGAAGCAAAAGACAGGTCAGGACCCTGGACAGCTCCCAGTGGACCTTCCTAGTTGACAATATTCATTGGATCCACATCATATGTTTAAAGCACATTGCTCCCCCCCAAAAAAATAATAATCAATCAATCAATCATGGGAACTGTAGTTTACTCAGGTCAGGGTACCGGGAACTATAGGTCTGTGATGGGCAAACTATAGTTCCCAGGGTTCTTTGGGGAAGCAATGTGCTTCAAATGTGCTTTAGATATATCGTGTGCTTGTGAAGTTAGCCTCAGTCAAGAGCTGGGACCTTCTGAGGCATTATGTTTTCTGACAAGGCCTACACTATAGTTCCTTGAGGAGCTGGTTGTCCAATTCCACAGGTGATGACTTCCATGCTGTGTAAACAAAGGAAATGTTATTGAGGGAGAAGGTCAATCCTCTGAGTCTGAGGAGGGCAGAAGAGTTAGGTCATCTGGCCAGAAGGGCCCAGGGGGAGATGCTCAGCCTTCCCCATACCTATATTTTCTCATCATTCGTGTCTTCCTTAAGGTAATGTAGGAGAGCAGGTTTGGGGGCCGTGACATTGGCCTACCCATTTCATATGCCCCCTCTGGTCCACACCTGTGCATTGCTGAGCACATAAGATTTCATGGCCTAGCACAGGATCTGAACCACAGTTAGTCTCCCCCAGACCTCACAGGTTGCTTTTTGCACTGCCTGGGTATATTTGTGTTTATTGCTGCTTGGTTCTATGCCTTTATTCCACTACACACCTGTGATTCTTTAATAGGGCATTTTTCATTCTATTTATTATAGCCGGCGGGATTGAACTCTGCTGCAAAGGAGCAGCCATGTCTGTATTTGCCCTCACTTTGTTTATAGAAACAAAATGCTATAGACACCCCAGGCTTTCAGTTGAGGTCAAACTGTGGTATTATTTCTGACCTCTTTCATAGTCTGACCTCTTTCATAGTGGCACTCTTTTAGTAGTGTGGAGTAAGATCTGATGAGTGGAAACGACATGTTTATTGGTCAAAGAAAGTGAGATGTAAAAAGCACTGGAGCACTTCTAGAATGTCTTTGCTTTATTGCATTTTCCTTATGTATCTGGTTTTAAATGATCGCCGTTGTTTTGTGATTTATGGATTTGTGAGTCACTGTGAGACATTTTCTTCTGGAAACGGACAAATAAATGCAACATAAATAAAGGGGTGTGCAGGAGAGATGGCACAACAGCCATGGGAGGGAAAGGCTGCTCTAATTTACAGACATTGAATGAATGCTCCCATGCCAGACCTGTAAAGCACGTGAGTGCTTATTTAGTAAAGTGTTTTTTAAAATGTCATGTGTAAGCTATCATAATTTGCATCATAGGCACTATCCAATAGGGCAGCACATGGGCCATTTGAAACATGGTAGAAATCTCAGTGCATCCCTTAATTAACTACAGTGGTACCTCAGTTTACGAACCGCCTTCTACCATTCGGCTTCCATTCGTAGACCAAGGCAAAGTTTGCAAACCGGGGCACTACTTTGGGTTTTGCGGAGTTCATAAATCAAATTGTTCGTAAACAGGTCTGTTCTTAAACCAAGGTACCACTGTACTTTCCCCCCTTCTTCAATGCCAGCATCATCACAAGGACTAGTGCTATAACATGAAAATCACAGGTGGTATGTGTGTGCATGTGTGCTAGTCCAGGCTGCTAAGAAGGGTTCTTTTAAGTGTTTATAGCTTTTTCTCCTGTAAGGGGGAAATTAGAATGTTGCTCCAGCACTGTATTATGAAATCCATGGGATGGAGGTTAGAGCTCTGGTCAAAACAGCCTCTATCTGCATTGTCAAAAGAAGGAGAAAATCAATCTCAGGGCTGATATTTCTGCTTTCCCTCTACCTTTCTGTGAATTATCTGAATGGAGCTCACAGTCTGAGAACGGCTGCAATAAGCACCTATAGGCCTTGCATAACCACTCTCAGTAATGGTGGTAAAACTACATTTTCTCAGTAGCAGCAAATTGCAGTTTGAGGTATTGTGCTGCAATAGAAAAGCAACTTGGTGAGGGAGACACCTGGATCCCTTGTAACTGATGAGTAGAAATGGCATGTTCATTGGTCAAAGAAAGTGAGCTGTAAAAAGCCCCCTAGGAAAGGGGTCTCATAACCTGCTCTGAGCTTAGATACCATCAGAACTAAGGTATTTCAGATGCAGCTAACAGCAGGGGTTGTAAGTGCTGTTTCAATGCTAAGCCTTTGCAGTGCATACCTGCAGGATTACTCAATCCACACTGGTCTCTGAAAGCAAATAAGCTTCCTTGCACAGTACCCTGAAATGTGGGAGCAAACTGAAAAGGTCTTCTTTGTTGTTTAGGGATTTATCAAAGAACCACCATGTGAACTTAACAAGACCTATCTCAGGACTTTCTCTTTGGCTGACAAAGCCATTAATATGTAATTGTGCTTCTTTGTAGGTGCTGACATTTGCCTGGGGGAAAGCCTGTCATGAGATGCAGCAAAATGAGACCCTTCTCCATCACAAGAACCAATCCCATGGTCCTCTTGCACTGCCATGATATTCTATCTAAAGAAGCACAATCAAAATGAGGTGCAAAATGGCTGTGTTTAATTAAGAACATAATGGCGTACAGAACTGAATGGCAACGGGAGACATAAGAGCCCTTTTCCTGCTCAGCTCTTAACACGGGCAAGAATGTGATTCCAGGGTTTGGGGTTCCTTCTTCTCCACGGCCACTGTTGATTCTCTCTGATCACTCCCTGGGGACCCAGAATAGGATGGGTGATGGACTTGTGAAGGGAGGTGCTATTCTCCATGGAGCCTTCTCTCCCCACCCAGTGGGTGCGGAATTCCACCAGGATCAGGAGGCTGCTGCAGACAAGCCAGAGCTCTCTGCTCCTCAATTCCAGCCTCGACACCAAGACCAGAGATGTGGCCTCTGAGTCGGTGGGCCTCTTCTTCATGCTCTTGATTGACTTGACAGCCATTGTAGGCAATGTAGCCATTATGACGGTCATCATCAAGACACCTGCACTGAGGAAGTTCGTCTTTGTGTTCCACCTCTGCCTGGTGGATCTCCTGGCTGCCGTCACCCTGATGCCTCTGGCTATGCTGTCCAGCTCAGCCTTCTTTGACGGCACGGCCTTTGGGGATGCCATATGCCACATCTACCTGTTCTTGAGCGTCTGCTTCATCACCATGTGCATCCTCTCCATCTCGGCCATTAACGTTGAGCGCTACTACTATGTGGTGCACCCCATGCGCTATGAGGTGAAAATGACTGTGGGCCTGGTTGTCTGTGTCCTGGTTGGCGTCTGGATCAAGGCTGTGGTCATGTCCATCATCCCTATCCTGGGCTGGCTCTCCCAAGACCGTGCCAGTAGTTCAGCAGCCTATGGGGGACAAAGCTGCACCTTGCAGTGGAGTCGGAGTGCCTACTGCAAATTCTTTGTGGCTTTCTTTGCTCTTTTCTACTTCCTCCTGCCTGTCCTCATCATTCTGGTTGTCTACTGCAGCATGTTCAAAGTGGCCAGAGTGGCTGCCATGCACCATGGCCCACTCCCCACTTGGATGGAGACCCCAAGGCAGCGGTCAGAATCCCTTAGCAGTAGATCCACTATGGTGACTAGTTCAGGAGCCCCTCGGACTACCCCTCAGAGGACGTTTGGGGGTGGGAAAGCTGTCATCATCCTCCTGGCCGTGGGGGGCCAATTCCTCTTCTGTTGGCTGCCATACTTCTCCTTTCATCTCTACTCTGTGCTGAGCTCCCATTTCCCCGGCCGGCAGACAGAGAATGTGGTTACTTGGATTGGCTACTTTTCCTTCACCTCCAATCCTTTCTTTTACGGGTGCCTCAATCGACAGATCCGAGGAGAGCTGAGCAAGCACCTCACCTGTTTCTTCAAGCAGCCACCGGAGGAAGACCTCAGGTTACCCAGCAGAGAAGGCTCCATTGAGGAGAACTTCTTGCAGTTCCTACAAGGGACGGGTTGCAATGCTGAGGCCAGAAACACTCTTACCCATCCTAGCCCTAAAAGGGACCAGCCGACCATTGATTTCCGGATCCCAGGTCAAATTGCAGAAGAGACCTCGGAGTTCCTGGACCAGCACATGAACAGTGACATCACTGTATCCGACAGCTACATCAGGGCTGCACGTTCACCCAAACCTGAGTTGTAGCTCTTTTTGCACTTGACAATCTAGTTTCATTGGTGTGTGAAATAATGCAGAACATAACAGCTGGTGAAGGGCGGGGGAGATTGGGGGCACTTAATAAATACAACCATGAAATTTGGGAACTTCTCGCTCCAAGAAACAGCTCCTACTAGTATCTCAGTCATTTCATTCCGTTTGATGGTAACTGCTCTCCCCACTTGCATTTCAACTCGTTCTTAAGGGTTGGAGTCAGAAGCAGCCTCATGTTTCAAGACTTCCAGAAGTTTCCATCTGTCTCGGGGATGGAGAACCTGTGGTCCTCCAGATGTTGCTGGACTACAACTCTCAGCATCTCTGACCACTGGCCATGCTGGCAAGGGCTGATGGGAGTTGGAGTCCAGCAGCATCCATCCATTCCCCCTGCCAGTTTACACAAGTTTATTTGATAGCTGCCACCTAGCAATGTTAGTGGAACGCGGGTGGCGCTGTGGGTAAAACCACAGTGCCTAGGACTTGCCGATCGTATGGTCGGCGGTTCGAATCCCCACGGCAGGGTGAGCTCCCGTCTTTCGGTCCCAGCTCCTGCCCACCTAGCAGTTCGAAAGCACCCTTAAAGTGCAAGTAGATAAATAGGTACCGCTTTATAGCGGGAAGGTAAACGGCGTTCTGTGTGCTGCCCTGGTGCAGGCTCGCCAGAGCAGTGATGTCACACTGGCCACGTGACCTGGAAGTGTCTGTGGACGCCGCCGGCTCCCGGCCTCAAGAGTGAGATGAGCGCATAACCCTAGAGTCTGACAAGACTGGCCCGTATGGGCAGGGGTACCTTTACCTTTACCTTAGCAATGTTATCATTTGCTTTGAACTTCTGTGTGGGGGAAGTTAGCCCTGTTGGAGAACAAAGGGCCTGCCAAGCAGGGCTCCCTCCCTGCATTTATCTTCTGTTAAGCTGGTGTCCCTTAACTCAAAGGATGGAGTGAGGTTGCCCATTGTTCTTGGGGCCCCACATGACTGAGCCATGCAGGGGTGGATGGAGGCAGCTGTAGCAGAACAACTGACCTTTATGATGGAGGAAGATTTTAAAGAACCATTTTGGTGTCCTACTAGGAAGTTTAGCTCTGAAGGACTGTATTTCCTTTCTGTTGCCGAAGTCAGTGAAGCACGGGGAACGTGCTCTATGGTAGAAAGTGAACCAGACACTGGCAATCTCAAGGTCAGCGACAGGAGCCAGGCTTTGCATCACTTGACCTGGGTCTTCAGTCATTGAAAGCCACTGACTTCTGTAAGGGAAAGTAAATGCTACCTGTCTTACTGAGTTTGCTAGTTTGAAAATGTAAGGGTTCTTGCAAAAGATGGCTGTGGCGCGGAGGCAAAGGGTCTTGATGCATGGAGCACGCAGAGGCCCACTGCCTCCTCTCCCTAGCAGCCTGTCCCACTAGACTCCCCATGTGTTTCTGTAGGGGGTGGGGTGGGAAGGCATGTCATGCTGGTGGACCAATTGGGCTGTCATGTACATCTGCCTCCTCCATCTTGGATCCTCAAATTCTTGTCGGACTACAATTCCCATCACCCCTGACCTTGCTCCCTGTTGGCTGGGGATGATGGGTGTTGCAGTTCAACAACATCTAGGAACTCAAGCTTAGAAAGGGTTTTATTGATGATGATGATGGCCCAGTACATGTAATATTTCCCAGAATCAGCAGGGAGCCTGATCATTAACTGCCTTCTTCCTCCCACACAGTCTACCAAGCAATTGATTAAAAGTTGGGCCTAGGGGTCTTGCTGTCTCCAGACTGCAAGGTGAATTGAGTGTCTTCGTCCCTCAGCTCCCTATCTATTCCCTACCTCCTGTCCCATCCTTCATACCTCCTGATTAAGATTGATGTTCCACTTGGGATGCTTCCAGATGCAGAGATTTGTGGGTGAGTGGCATGCTCACCGATGCCCTGCATCATCAGCTTGGTTCTTTACAGATGTTTTGGACTACAATCAGCCCCAGCCAATACGATTGTGGTGGCTGGAGCTGATGGGGCAGGGGTTGTAGTCCAAAGCATCTGAACGAAATCAGGCCAGCAGAAGCTGGACTAGCAATTGGCAAAGCAGCCACAGTTCCAAGACACTGGCAGTTTTAAACACACACACACACACACACACACACACACACACACACACGACACAATGCTTCCTTCTTAGAGGCATTACGTCTGATTTGGCACCACCAATTTTGTTAGAAGTGATCCTCCTAGCAATACAGTTCAAGAGTGGTCAAACTAGGTGTGATGCTGTCAGACTTGTTTGGAGGTGGCATTGACAGAGGTACAACATCATTCCATCTCAGAATTGAATTGTTGTTGTTGTTGTTTAGTCGTTTAGTCGTGTCCGACTCTTCGTGACCCCATGGACCAGAGCACGCCAGGCACTCCTGTCTTCCACTGCCTCCCGCAGTTTGGTCAGACTCATGTTTGTAGCTTCGAGAACACTGTCTAACCATCTCATCCTCTGTCGTCCCCTTCTTCTTGTGCCCTCAATCTTTCCCAACATCAGGGTCTTTTCCAGGGAGTCTTCTCTTCTCATGAGGTGGCCAAAGTTTTGGAGCCTCAGCTTCACGATCTGTCCTTCCAGTGAGCACTCAGGGCTGATTTCCTTAAGAATGGGTACGTTTGATCTTCTTGCAGTCCATGGGACTCTCAAGAGTCTCCTCCAGCACCATAATTCAAAAGCATCAATTCTTCGACGATCAGCCTTCTTTATGGTCCAGCTCTCACTTCCATACATCACTACTGGGAAAACTATGGCTTTTACAATACGGACCTTTGTTGGCAAGGTGATGTCTCTGCTTTTTAAGATGTTGTCTAGGTTTGCCATCGCCTTTCTCCCAAGGAGCAGGCGTCTTTTAATTTCGTGGCTGCTGTCACCATCTGCAGTGATCATGGAGCCCAAGAAAGTAAAATCTCTCACTGCCTCCATTTCTTCTCCTTCTATTTGCCAGGAGGTGATGGGCCATGATCTTCGATTTTTTGATGTTGAGCTTCAGACCATATTTTGCGCTCTCCTCTTTCACCCTCATTAAAAGGTTCTTTAATTCCTCCTCACTTTCTGCCATCAAGGTTGTGTCATCTGCATATCTGAGGTTGTTGATATTTCTTCCAGCGATCTTAATTCCAGCTTGGGTGACCCTGCACGGCATAGCTCATAGCTTCTCTGAGTTATTCAAGCCCCTTCGCCACGACAAGGCAGTGATCCATGAAGGGGAGAATTGAATTGGAAAACACCTAATAAACACAGCCCTTTCCCCCACATCCCTGCTCAAATCAAGCAATGACTTAGAACAGCTTTCATCCTACTGCCCCCCTTTTTTTCAAGGAACTTGTTGCTCCCTCCAGCCTCCCTATTGAGGGGGCCTTGGTGAAAAGAAAGGTGTGTTTGTTAAACCCTGCCCACCCACCCACCACACTGCAAACTTTTTGTTTAATTCCCTAGTGAATTACTTCTAGTCCAGCTCTATTGGCTTCTGACCACTGATCAACAGTTTTCTGCAATCTAGGCCTCTAAACATCATATTCTAAGGTGGACTAGATGGGGATAACCTTCTGGGCCACAAAAACACACAGATGCACAAACACACTCCACAAGCACCCTTAAGCAAGCAGAAGCGCTGGCATCTCAGGGAGTGTGGAATGGGGATGACAACCGCACCCAAAGCTCGTGATGCCTTCAGGCATGGCTGCCAAACCCAGTAGGCAATGTAAGGTCCTGTGATGGTGACCAGCGGGAGTATTTTGGTGGCCTAACCATCTCTGCATGAATGTGATTGTACTGTGAGATACGGCATCTTGCGTTCTAGTAAAGAATCTGGTGTTGTTTCTTTTTCAGACTCCACAATCTCAGCTTTCAGTTTACATATATAGATATATAGATATACAGTCCTTACAGCTGTTGCATAGAAAACATGGGGGGTGGAATTCAAGGTTGCCCTATTGCAAACGTTCCATCTATGCAAGCATATCAGCTTCCCTCCCCCCTCCCCCTGCACGTTCTTGGGGTTCTCTTGACTGTCCCCCCAGGCTAATTGGAGGGGGAGGAAAGAAGGGGACATTCCGTTGTGCAAGTGGAAGCCCTTCCCCAGGGCTCTCACAGATGGCGTTTGTTTGATGAATGGTACCCTGAGATCTAAAGGCTCACAAACCTAAAGGGGAATGGACAAGGCAAGGATCAGGGGACTCTGCACATAGCCCAGCTGTGACCTCCTTGGCTCACTTCTCCCTTCCATGTGCTCATTTATGTCTCCCAGTGACACATGAGCATTCTTCTTTCACGTCCTCTACCACAACACTTTCTCTTCAACAGTTCAGACAGGGCGTGGGTGGAGATCCAAATACCGCAATTAGAAAGCTGTGTGTGTGTTGTGTAAAGTTATGTCCACCTGTCCAATCTACAGAATTTTCTTAATGCGCAAATGTGATGGGTGGGAGGTAGGAAGAGGTGAACTTGCAAAATTTGGTCTATCCCTATCCAGAATTTTCAACCTCTTGGCTAAGGTGAAGTCTTCTCATCATGGAGACTTTGGGGCATGTCCTCTGCATCATGCTGGTGGTCACACCCACCCCACCCCCAAAATCCTGGGAACTGTAGATTGCCCCACCAGAGCTACAATTCCGAGCATCCTTAACAAACTACAGTTCCTATGAATTTTTTGTTTTTGGGGGGATCATGTGCTTCAAATATTTACAATGTATGCAGCTGATCAATTGCACAGAAACGGCTCTCCCTCTGGCCTGCACCAAAGGTGCCACCTGCCATCACGCTTTCCAATTGGTTGACCCCGCAAGAAAAGGAGTTTTTATGTAGGACAGTTGAAACCTTGAGCCACAAATAAAGCGATTATTTATTATGAAATTTGCTCCCTGCCTGTGTGTGAGTAATGGGCTCTCGCCTTCTGAAACTTGAGCGAAGGGCTCCAGCTAGGAGAGCGGCTATCCTGATAACATCGTCCAGATCTGATGCTGCTCCCCCAGCAGTGTGACTTGAAGCTGGCGGTGAGCATTAGTTTCTTTTTGATCTGCAGCCTGTGGAGTCCTATTCTAGAGGAAATTATGTTCTCTCCCTCTCTCCATTGCCCTTTCTCTCTGCAGTGTTTTGCAAGCTGCTGGGTCCCAAAGGAGACTTCTACTGGGTACAGCCAGAGGGAAGCAGGGAGCGTTGAGACAGAGGAAGTAGGCACACCATACATTTCAAGCAGTATGCCACTTTAAACAGTCATGGCTCCCCCAAAGAATCTTGGGAACTGTAGTTATGCTCTAAGTGGTTAGGAGGCCCCCCTATGCCAATCACACTTGCTAGAGTTCCCAGTGAAGAGGGATCGATTGCTAAACCACTCTGATAACTGTAGCTCTGTGAAGGGAATAGGGGGTCTCCTAACAAACTACAGCTCCCAGAATTCTTTGGGGGAGGCCATGACTGTTTCAAGTGGCA